AAACTACTCTGCATGTTATGTGTCACTGCACGTCATATGCAACAGGTAGACGAAGACTCCTGGGAGGAGATGAAATTCCACCAGACCAGATCATGTGAACTCCCCTCAAGATTCTTCTGGAATCCATTGAATATACAGGGATAATGAGGGAGTAAAATTACGACGGCACAATAGGACAGAAATGACCGTGGTGCAAGGCCAAACACCACCTCGGCGGTGAGGAAAGGATTTTAGTGGGTAAACAGCTTAGCTGGAGTCCCCACAACCCAGAGTGACAGACCACCAGCTCTGGGAGTGCATAAAAGAGCATTTCCCAAACCTCAGCATATGAAATATTTATTTTATTGGCGAAAGTTTAAATTTCAGCACATCTCTCAAAATGCCTCAACCAGGTCAAAATCCGTTGGCAGACAAAAACTTAAAGGACTTAAAGTGCCTCTCGTGAAGTAACGAATAGTTACTCTTTCTCAACTCCAATACTTTCGAGAAAAATCAATTAATCAATCATTTCCGGGGCATGTGGAAAGTCCTCCAAAAAAACCTCTAAAACTGTCATTTTTATTCAATCAAACAAAGCCTACGGTTCAAAAAACGGAACACAACCGTCCTCTATGCTGGCCCTAATTTGCCTGAGAGCTTCCATCAAGGCTTTCAAGGTGACGTCCATCCTTGCAAGCCTTCTGCTGTCCTTAAAATGCTGATCGTCCGTCTCTTGCAACATCCACAACAGGTCATCCATGCGCTCTATCAGCTCAGCATGCTCCGTTTTGAATGTCGTCAATTCCTGTATGCTGATGTTCGTCTGTCTGGAAACCCAGTCCAGAAATGGGGGGATTGTGACGATTTTGTTATGATTTAGACACTGGGGGATTTTAGAGAGGCAGGCAGGTCTGATGACAAAGCCCAGCACTCTTTGATTGGTGCTGACAAGGTTCCCTGTTAATGTCAAGCTGTTTTCGCCTTCCCACTCCATGCAGGCTTCCTGGTTGGGGAAATAGTTGGGCTGATAGAGCAGGTTGCAGTAGTCTTTATTGAGCAAGCGAGCCTCGCTGAGGCTCAGGTTGGACACGATGTCGGTGGACCAGCCGGTGACATTCAAGGAAACCTCCCCAAGAAGCTGCAGCTCCTCCTTAGCCATCAGCACTCCTGGGCGGATATTTTTTCGGAAAGAAACGCGCTTGGTCAGCTGCAGCAGCGCTATGTTGTTCATAAAGGACCCATTGGAGACTTGCACGAACTTGTCATGGACGATTATGTTGCTGGCATGGGCCACTTCGGTGTCCTTCTGCCATAAGCGGCCTTGGAAGAAGGCGTCCGCGTTGAAGCCCAGGAAAATTTTGGCTCCCCAACTCGAACTGGAAGTAACATGTTGAAGCTTTGCAGCTGAACCTTAAGGCAACTTACCCATTGACGCATTGCGCTGGACACAGAACGTACTGGTCGCTGATCAGCAGCGCTGAGCACACAAAGATACTGTCCACGACAGCATGGAAGGGATATATAAGCGGCGATGTTTCGGTAACAGCGCAGCTCTGGAAAGCAGTGCTTTAGAGCTGGAAGGGAAACTTTGAGGGGTTCACCTGTTTCACCAGGAGCAACAAACAACCAACGATATAGAGAGAGTTCACGTGCATTTTGCCGTCGATACTGCCAAAGACTGCGGACGCCATATTATTTAAGCAAACGCCTTATCAATGTTAAAATGTATCGAAATGCAAATTATAGTGATTAATTTCGACTAGTTCCGCATGGTCAGCAGGCAAACTGAAAATATTGCAATCGATACTGATTAGTGATGGCGAAGTTTCAAATGTGATGAGAAAATCGCTCTTTTAAACCCAAAGAGTGAAAGTGAACCTCAATGGCTGGTGACTTGCGGGCGTCCTTAAACTCCCTCATTGGATGACTGCCATTAAACTAATGTATTTTTGCAGGAAATCGTTCCGATTCCGCTTTGACTGCTTTCGATGGACATTAATTTCTTCGCCCTCCAAACCCATAAATAATTTCGAACAGTTATTAATTGTTCGATGTTAAAAATTATCGTTTTACTGCCGGGTCCCGATAACAATACGTGGCTGATAAGGAGCAGCTCCTGTGTAAACAATATCGTTAAATTAATATTATTTCTAGCTGACTAGTTGGAGGGAAATAACCAGGTTGAACTCTGACCGGCTGGTTATCGGGTTTAAATGGCGTTTGGTTGCATATCAAATTTAATCGAATTCTCGGTGGTCGCTCAACCCAACTAGAGCAAGGTGTCTTCTGAAAGTTTTCCATTTTTTCCTCCGACGTACTATTTATGGCCCCTATTAACATCTTGCGTTAATTAAAGGGGTCTTGGGAAGATGAAAAGTCCCGATATGCCACTCTGGAAGATGGGCGATAGCATTAAGGCAAGTTGGTGATAACCAGCCGAATCCATCATATTTGATGAGAAGTTGTCACGTTTGAAGACGCAAAGTGTCGAGATTGAACCTGTAGAGGGTCTGGAAGGATATAAAGTAGCTTTTTTCATCATTTTTATTCATTTGGGAACATTTTAAAAGCTCCCAACATTTTCCATTGGATGCTTCACTTTTTAAAGCCGTCCATTTGTGCTTTTTCCAGTGGTGGAGACGAAGAAGAGCTCTCCAGCTCAATCTGTTTCTGAGAAATTTCGCTTTTTGACCTTCTTGAAAGGGCAGACTTTTTGGAAACACTGCCAACATAAAACTCTATTCAATTTTGCGACGTTTTACTTATTATATATATATAGTATATTTGCGAAATTGCTCTTTTGAATCTCTTGATTTAGAAGTTGGCAATGATGAAAAATGGCAGAAAGCACCAGTTTTCAAAAATTTAGAAACTCGCTAAACGCCATTCAAACTCAGTCGAATTTTCGCAACTTCTACATTGAGGTAGCAAAAATGAATCCATCTGGTCCCTATGGAATTCTTGTGAAAA